CGACCAGCCTGTCCTGTCCTAATACTGACGTCAAGGATGTCCCACGCGTCGCGCATGTCCTCGACTCTCAAGGGCTTCTTGCCGACATTCACGCGGGCTCCTGTCATCTGATGATGGAATCTGAGGTCGTTGAGAAAGCGTTGAATGAGATTGGCGCATGGGTAGTACAGAGGTCGGTCGTCCTCGGATTCGCCCATTAATCTGCATTCGTGTGCAGGCGGGCTACCGGCTTCGACCCACTTCTGATACCTCTTCTTGGACGTATTGGCCAATCTCCGCAACTGATCTTTCTCTGTGCCTATGGGGGATCGCGCACCCGTCATAATGACATGTGCGCCATCCTTCATGTATCTCGCGACCTGGTCCTCGGACAACGTCGTCTTGATCCAGTTCGTCAACTTCTGGAGGTACGCGAGGTCACTCTGTGTGGCGGTGCTCTTACCTGTGGCGCCTACGGCCACAGTGTATTGCCAACATATATCACAGAGTGTGCCGTCACCTGTGACGATACCGAGGGACAGATCTCGACCGCAATTGTTACAGAGCGGTATGGGATGCAAGATCGTCTCGGGGGCCCCTGCCGAAGTCAGGTGATCGCGGGATCCCCAGCGGGTGTCCTGACCGCGAGCGAGGCTCTGACCGATCTGATTGATCGCCTCACGATTGATCTCGGTGTTTGGTCTGGAAGCGATCGATCTGCTTAAACCCTCGATCTCGATCCGAGACAACCTTTCCCCTGGCAGTCCTTTGTACTCTATCTTGACGTTGTCGGTATCCTCAGTACCGCCATGGCATACGTTCTCCTCACGAAGACGGCGAGCCTGCTTCTGCAAGGTAGCCTCGTTGTCGCCCTCCTCGCGCTTGAGTCCCGTCTGTTCAGCTATGATGCGTACCATAGTCTCCTGATCGGGAGCTGCAGACGCAACGCTGCCTGGGCCCTGGGGAATATCCTGCTCAGCGCCTTCCTCTCGAGGCGCAGCAGGTGTTTCCACCAGCTCTTCCCACGCAGGAAACTCTGGATCACCGTATGTCGCAGTACAATTTTTGTATAGGTCACGCAATGCCTGAAGTGCAGGATGGTTGTCATGGATGACTTCCTTGGCGAAATCTGGTAGCTCCACAATACTGTCTTTCAAGATGTTCTGGTATACTTTGGAAATCCATTGAACGATGCCAGTGGTCGACTCCTCGATAGTCTCTGGGTCGAGGTATTGTACCAACTTTTTGAAGAAGTGATCTGCACCACAATTGGGTAAGTCATGTGCCCACTTGTGGGTATGATTGTAGTTCAAATGATATGACTCCGCATTCCATGCTTTCGATCCAAATCGAATTTCAAATTGTAAATGTGACTGAATTTTGTCCATTACGATTCTGTCTGCGCCACTGTGTATCTCAATGATCTGCCCCGTCTTGATCATCGGCGGATCCACCAATAACGCCGATGTCCAACAATACGCGCGGCAATCATCAGACTGTCTAATCCATCTTGAATCCTCGTCGGGGTCGTAGTCTGGATGATCAAGGAAATTCGATGGCGGATCAATGATGTTATCGAGGATGCTTGCCTCGATCTGCTCTTCTGCTTGGATGTCTGCCGAGAGGTCTGCCCTCATGTTGTCGTTCGCAGCTTTCTCATCTGCAGTAAGAACGATATTTGATATGTCCACGATTACGGTGATCAGTGGATCATGCGATGATGCTGTACCCTGTCGAGGAATGTCGCCCGTCTGAGCGTTGTCCTCGGCAGGTGTGGCCACCAGCTCGTCTGGATCAGGTGTCCGTGGAGCGGGCCTTCTTGGTGGTGTACGCGGAATACGTGGTCTATGGATGCTAGGCATTCCAAGGTATGGTAAGCTGCCGCTAACCTTGTGCTGCAGTATCTCCTCGCTGCAAGATGTCGGGCCTTTCAGGGCAGTCTCCATCCATGTTGGATCGATGGCGTGTTCTTCGATACGAATCGGCAATGCAAATACAACGCCCTTGAGGGGCATGCTTTTGTCATTATACCAGATATTTACCCATCGTAAACCGTAGTTGAGAATAGGTACTTGTACCGCAAAGAACTTGTCGAAGATGCCGAAATGGATGATTGGACCATATATGTGTCCCTTGGACAAGGCAATCTTGGTATTGTGATTGCCTTTGGGCCAGTGGTTGTCGTAGTGGAAGCATTTGGTAGAACCCCAATTCTTAATGACAATGAAGTCGCCCATTCGAACATCGTTAAATGCAGGACGACGATCCCAATCTTTTTGCATGATCTTTGCTGTGATTGGTCGAAGAGCTTCACGACAATGTGATAATGCAATCAACCATTCTTTATCATCTGCTTTGTGATTGGTCTCCTGGATCATAGCACGTACTATTTGCTCTTCCAAGGCGTCCTCTGCGGATGTACGGCCAGCAGGGGTTCCCCCCGGCCTGGCCGAGGGTGCTGATGCTGGCGTCGTCCTTGGAAGCTCCATGTCTTGGTCGGGGTCGATAGGTGCCAATCCAGGTGGGTCGTCAATAAGTTCTCCAGGAAGGCAGGCGCAAATCTCGTACTTGCTCAATGGTTCTCTGGCTGCCAATGGCGGGTAGTCCCATGGGTCGCCGTCTGGCCACAGCTGCTGGCCATGCATGTGGTGTGGTTTGAGGCGGCGAATTGCAATAATTGCCGCAGCGGGTACCACGTCCTCAGTCATGATAGCGCCCTGAGCACCCAACCAAAATCTGCAACCTGCTTTTGTGGCGATCTCCATGTTGATCACCAGCTCGACTTCGTTCTTGTAGCTGTTGAACTTGTACGATTCCACTGAAGTATGTGGGTTCTTTTGAACGTTGTTCAAATATGTGCTAGAACTGAAGAATGCCTCAGATCGCTGCGATGGTTTATAAGTTCTGTCTCTCTGAGAATGTGGTTCAACATATCCAGGAATGATCCCTGTCTTCAGTATGTTCTTCCAGGCGCGGGATGCTGTTCCATGATGGAGATATTTGATATCTGTCCACTGTAAGCTCTCCCATCCCATGTTCCATGGCTTTGAAGATGGGTTGACACAACTGTGACCACCGACGCACCGAATAGCAATAACGCTGTTCCAGTCAAAAGTGCTGGGGTCACCTCCGTCAGGAATCGGCTTGGCGTATATCTCGATTCTGTTTTTCTGCGGGTCAATATGCTTCTGGAACGCACGAATAATGAATATCGGATAGTAGTCGTTCCAATCGGTGTATCCATCATTTTCACCGTCTTTCTTGAAATGTGCCACTGCCGCTTCCATGGATGGTCCATTGTGTCTTTCTTTGCGATCTCGGAATTTCCATTCAACCATTTCTTTAAATGATTTCCAATTGCTTGGAATATTCCAATCATTCTTTGTTGTTTTGTCCCAGATATTAATACGTCTGTCATGAAATTGGTTGATCCAAA